TGTCGTCATGATAGCGATCCCGATGTCACAAAACGTGACGTCATTTGATCCCGAACAAACTGAAATATGTTTCCGCATTACAAAGGAAGTTAAATTAGGTATAAGGGTTACCTGATACGCTAGACTGGTAGATTGTGTGTGTTGTCTTCGATTTATATCAATATTAGACATATCTTATTTTGTAGATCTGTGTTTATTTTAAAAATACACGTTTCTCATATGTTTGATCATAATTGTACCCAGTGCATACTCTTTTGTCAAAGGTTTGGCGTGGGCTGAAGTGAGAGTACTTGCAACATTGTCACAAAATGGTAATTAAACTGCAGGGTAAAAAAGCATACACCCATGTTTGATGGTGGCTAAAAATGAAACAAACACGAAAAGGCTATGTGATGGTGGTGTATTTGATACGGGTATCATTGGTGTGTTTGATATCGTTGCATCGTTTCGAAGACTGTTTTCAACCTAGTAATGTTTCTGTCAAATCCAATTTCCAAGTGCATACTTTTTTGTGACAGGGCGTTTTACATGGCACACAGTTCGGCACATGGTCCCGTGTACTGCACACAGGTCACAAATCAGGCGAAGTTACCCGGAATCGTGACCGGGTGGAAGGGTTAGTGTGCTTGAATGTTGTTTAACGCCGCACCCAGTAATATTCCAGGTATATGACGGAGGTCTGTAAATAATCGAGTCTTGACCACACAATCCTGTGATTGATATCATGAGCATCGATCCATGCAGTTGTGATATGATGACATGCATCAACCAAGTCAGCGAGCCTGACCACCCGGTCCCGTTAGTCCCCTTTTACGACAAGCATGGATACCTTTTAGGGCAAGCATGGGTTGCTGAAGACCTATTCTAACCTGGATCTTTACGGGCATGTTTGGATTCGGGCCTACCTCACCCTGAACATGGTGTCTACCTGAGGCAAGAGACTTTTACCCAGCAAGATGAGTTGGTAACTATTGAAAACCTACTAGTCTTACATATAAGATAGCTTGTGGTGTATACTCCCCGGGGAGTCTTGAATAAAAAATTATGTGCAAACCGATCCAGTGGGCATTTATACAGTAGCGGCGTGAACATTCACATTGACAATGACGTCAAACATGACGTCATTGTGACGTCCTACAAAAGATTCGAGATAGAAAAAAGCAGAGAGGCACATCTCAGTCCAAAATTACGTTCGGCCAGCACTGGCAGTAATATATTATGTGACAAGTTTCATGCACGTAACATAACAAAACCTGGCGGCAGTCGTAAACCTTCTATGACTCTTCAGGTTGTTTCCATTTGCTTCAAATCAAAGTGTATACATTTTATACATATAAATTCACATCAGAATAACTAGTCAATAACGTTCGTCGGATATAGAGTTACATTGTCCGTATCAAATACACTCTAACCCCATTAGTCGGGTTGTAGTGTATAGCGTATACTGTTAGTGAAAAGCCCAGTCGCGGGACGGTCATTGTTGCGGCGTCCGTATTCTTAAATGGACTCTACCACGTACCCATAATTCATGTATCCAGACATCTATCAATCCGGCGCTTACACCAGGACAAGTACCGTCCGGATGAACGGGCTTTCATTCTGTGTTACATATGACCAGCCAGACATATTTCAAGGTCGAATAAAAAAGTAAGGAAGTTGGTAATTCAAATATTTTAGGTATAAATTACGATTTACGAGCGTCTAAAGTTATCCACGCACATCAGCTCTCAGGATTTGTCAGTAACCCTGATTTGTGGTGTAATTAATATGCTGGTCGCCATGACAGCTACAGTGCTTGCCACCTGAAATAGAATCTGCCTATATTACCCGAGACTGGATGTTAGTCTACCCGAGTTGTGAGTGAGTGAGTGAGTGAGTGAGTGAGTTGGGTTTAACGCCGCTTTTAACAGTATTACAGTTATATCGCGGCGTGTCAGCTTAATGTGGGAGGAAAGCCCTAAGTGATGCAGGTCTCGGACGTTTACCACTTCGGTGAAACCCACGAGCACGGGTATGGTGCTGACAAACCTAGAAACATAATCAGGGCGAACCGGGATTCGAACCCACAATCTTAGGTTTCTGGCGTGCCAAAGGGACGCAACTCTGCACAGCGAATCGCGGCGCCTTAGACGACTGGGCCACCCGTGTCCCCCTACCCGAGTTGTGACCACCTAATCAATGATGATGTTTGTCGCGAGAAAGGTGGATATTTCCTGATTAGCGCACTTTGCAATTTCTTTTTATTGCTATGTGTAATATTCCCTATCGGCGGAATGGCTTGGTGTCGCTTACAAGTATTATCATACACGCAGCTATCTTCCTTAATAAATCATCGCGATATTTCGTGATTCTCTTTCAAGTGGCGAGGATTGTCGTGTCGGTAAGACAGCTGATTAAAAATATACAGCCGCGCAAAAGAAAGTGAAGACCCATGTGTCTGACTGTGGTTAAAAATGAAACAAACAAAACTTATTTGGTTGTTATTTATTTGAACCAGTATTGGACCTGAAGTTGGCAGTGTTTTGGCTACTGTTTCAGACTAGTCACGTTTTGTTAATGTTTGTAATATTTGGGCAAATGTGTATACATACTTCTTTTGCCATACAGTTTATATCAAAGCCTCAATTGTACGATTCAGATTCTCTCCATGTATTCCCACATAACATACTTTTGAGCCTCATCTATTTTCGAGCCCCCAAATGATGTTATCCAGGTAGATGCTTCAAAGTCCACTGAAGGCGTCAAGGTGTTCGCCACTTGCCGCTGAAGTTGCGAGAGTTAAGCTACACGGGGTAAGATATTCAATTAGTAATAAAAACATACATCAAAACTAACTTTTTCATGGGCCCATTGTTTAAAAACAATTTTTTACATTTTTTCTTCCTTTTAAGGTACCCATGTGAACAGCATGTTCAATTTTGTAATACCTTTGACATAGAGTGGCCACAGCATGGAGAGTTTCTGAACAAATGGGTTTCCAGAATTAAAATGGGACGTGTTTATTTATTAAATTTATTATCTGCACATCTGCGAGACACGTACATCCGTGAGTGTCGTAATCTCCCGCTTAAGACAGTGAGTAATTTGGGTTAAATCCGCTTTGAACCAAACAGGTGTTCTTTACAGTTTTTCAATTATATCAAGGCGTCAGCTTGAGCTTAATGTGGGAGGAAAACCCCGATATGATGAAGGTCTTGGACGTAAACTACTTGAGGAAAACCCACGGGCTTGAATGTTGTGCTGACGTACCGCGAAACCTGTGTGGACAGCTACAGTTGGAAAACCAGGTATCTTTAAATAAACATATTAGTCTAAATATTCTTGCAACAATTTATTTTTTTGTGCCAGGCAATTTTTTTTTTAACTGTCTGTAGCATAATGTTTTTCACGCGACAATTTATTTTTTGCTAAAAAATCCCTTCCCAAAATATAAACTGTTCAGTCCGTAATCAATAGTGTTTTTCTAAAACACAAGGTAGGGCAATGTTGACATCAGGGGGAAAGTATATTGATGAGATTAGTTTAGTATTTCTCACTGAGTATTGTAATTACTGCTTTAGTCTGATTCTCTTGTTTATGTCAAGTATGACATTGTTTTCATAGTTTGTGTGGCGGCAACGTGGCGTCATACCATCACATTGTCTTAAGTAATTGAATTTAATATTGATGACGTCACAGGCGATTTTGTGTGACGTCGTCCAAATAATACATTTTCTGAGCTGATGTACCCTCACGTGATAGGGTAACCCACATTTCGCTTCAGAAGAAAAGATTATGGGTAATATGTAGCATAACCTACACGTACCCGGCATTACTGAATATCTGTCACCGGGGTCCTACCACCACCACCGACCAAACAGTTCCCATGACAATACGTGTGCATTGTAAAAAATCTTAAATCTAGCTTGAGGGGGAGGGGGCTGGAATTGTATCGAAAAATATAAACTGTCCCAGAAACCTTCTGAAAAAAATATTTATGCTTCAGACTGAAGTACAAAAAATTACAAAAATGTCATTGTTGCAAGGTGTTTTTTATAACAAAAATATTCATTCTCCCACGTGCGAAACCTATTTGCTTAACCGTTCCTTTGTCGTGACTAAGATTCGAGTTTGATTCCCATTGTTGGTGTGAAATGCAACCCCAAACCTTTCGCCTACTCAATTAATGGTATCCTAGTGGACATGGTTTTTCACGCTTAGTCACAAACCGTACAGGATCGGTCATATGCGTGCGTGTGTGCGTGTGTGCGTGCATGCATGCATGCGTGCGTGCGTGCGTGCGTGATTGCATCAGGTTTTACGAGAAAAAAATCTTTCCAAAATAACTTCAACATGTTTGGATCCTATTTTCAGTGAAACATGTCTTGCAGCATCTTCCCGAGGCAAGGGAGTTATCCGACTATAAAAGTCCAGTTTCCACCCTTGCCGAACTAGGCTGCAATTATGGAGTTACATTTTGTCTGGAATAAAGAATCGATGCAGAGTAAAATCAAAATCGCGTAACGAACAAGACATCTGGTTTGTAAACAACATGGAATTGAACGTGCAGATTTAATCGACTGCAGGGTTGCAAAGCATGTGTATCGCAAACTGGGCGTCGACAGATATTTAGCAAATTCTTTCATGTTTTTAATCAAGGCGCTCACGTGATTTGATGTACTTCGCGGATTAAGACCCGTTTTATTACGATATAGATCTTGATTATCGATCAGATCGTCTTCGACTTGGCGCTGCCATTTTGTTTGAACCAAATGCAAGTGATATGAGAGATGGAATCTGATTGGTCAATAGGAGGAACATAGAAAGAACATAACTCGTAACAGCCACTGGTGGCGCTGCGATCGTGCCTGGAAATTCCAGGCTTGTTCGGCAAGGGTGGAAACTGGACTTTTATAGTCAGTTAACGCCCTTGCCTCGGGAAGATGGTCTTGCAGCTGTGCTGAAAAATAATGGCTTCTCCCTCCCTACTCGATACGGGTGTGAGAATAATACACAGAAGCAACAAGAAGATGGCTTGTTTTATTTCAGCATTCACTTGCAGTATAACACTCTTTGCAGGCTAAATGCTCAAAATACTAAAATGTAACGACATTCACACAATGGCGTCCGCAAAGCTTATGGCTTCAGTTTCCAGACTTTGACGTAGTTGATTTGCATAGCCGCATCTTCACCGTTGTTCTGGTTCGGTTTCCAGGTGGGGTACCAGAGATTCCTGGCGTTCCAGAACGCGGTGCTGTCGGCATCTTTCCAGGGCTTGGCGTACCCAGTGTTTGTGAAACTGTCGGGGAAGAAGTTCTGTCCGCCCACGGCGACGTTGAGGATGATGAAGAACTGCAATACAAGCGACAAAAAGCAATTTATCATAATCTTAATCATAATCATTTCCTTATCATACGAAATCTCCACTCAAGGGAGAGACCACTGTACGATTCCGATTATATCAAAAGCATGTGTTTATGAATCACTATCAAATAGTGGTGTCCCATCAATTGCAACCCTCACAAACACATGCAAAGGCAAGTGAATTGTTCACCTGAAAAAACACGTGAACATATGGTCAAAATTGGGAACTGCATCGGACACCAATTTTGTCACTGATGCGAAATTTTATCAAAGGGATTTATCAAGTTTTATGTCCGACGCCATGAACATCGAGCGTGTTGTTCCGGAGAGTCATCTTCGGTGAAAACGTGACTGAGTGATTGTGTTTGATTTAACGTTCCTTTGAATAGTGTTTAAGGTATATCAGATTAAAACAGCTTAATGTTGGAAAAAAGTGAAGCTTGTAGATGACATTTACCCACGAGGAACCCACCCTTGGATTTGGAGGTGACAAACAAAGGAACATAATTGGGAACTGTGGGTCTTGAACCCATGACTACATGTACCAGATCATGACTTGAATGAGGAACGACACAGCGTCTGTCTCCACCAAACGAGTTGAGATACGGTGCGAGTCTGCTGCGTTTAAAACCGCCCGTGCACCCGCCCGTGCACCCGTGAAATATGAGGAACGCATTATTCGACGTCAACTGGCCCCTATTCAATGGTAAACAAGCAATGTTAATGAATAGGAGTAGTGCATTATCCCAGCTTACCGAAATATGAGGCGAGTTTTAGGCGCTTACCATTCCCGGACCCACAACCTCGTTTAGAAGTTATAGCTAATGCAAGGCTTCGGTACACATATTATCAGATTGGAGCTGTGAAAATCCGGGTTAGAATTGATCTTCAGCAACCCATGCTTGTAAGTATTGTTACGTTTTGATTCTCAAGTTGAATCGCGAAGGTTAACCCAGAAATCGAACAGAACTTAATTGTGAAATAAATACATAAAAAATATATTGAAACAAGCAGGATTACAATAATAAAGGGGAAATACAATTTTTTCTATATGTATCAGTAGTAATATTACCATGGTAACAGGCCCTAATACCTAAGTCAATGCGACCTGTGAAGATCCTGGTTGAGCAAAGGTCATCAGCAGCCCATGCTTGCGTAAGAGGCAATGCTTGTAAAAGGCGACTAACGGGATCGGGCTGTCAGGCTCGCTGACTTGGGTGATGCATGTCATCCTATTCCAATTGCGTGGATCGATCCTCATGATATCAATTACTGGATTGTGTGGTCCAGTTTCGATTATTTACAGACCGACGTCATATAGCTTAAATATTGCTGAGTGTGGCGTTAAACAACATACAAACAAAATATTGGCACTTAACGAACGCTTCTTCCATGCGTCAAGAATATGATGTTTTGATTGGCAGGTTAAATAGGAAATAGCCGAAGGGGAAGGTGGGGTGAAATGGGTTTTAACTTCCTATTCAATAGATTTCCACATATATAGCGAATGGCTGCTTGTACTAGTCTGACTATGCTGGCCCACTGAGATACCAGGCCGCAGGTTAACATGGATACAACGCTCACACACAGTATACTGACTCGGAGCTGACCAGTCCTCGTATTTGTTCCCTTAATGCTGAGGCCAGGCAGGGTAACAAAGAGTACCATCTGTTGACGTTTTTTTGTATGACACGGCCGGAGATTGAACCACCGACCTTAGTCTCAGATTCTCCCTCCTGTAGGCCATGGATTGGTCGGAAATGCTTGTTCGGGGTGTATTGATGAACGTAATGTATAGTGTCTCACCGTAAAGTCCGCGGTATAGCTTAAATATCTCAATGTGAATTAGGGGCGGCTGGGTAGCCTAGTGGTTGAAGCGTTCGCCGAAGACCCGGGTTCGAATCCCCACAGCCATTTCTGGTGTCCCCCGCTGTGATATTGCGAAAAGCGACATAAAACCTCACTCACTCACTCACTCCCCTCGCTAGCCCGGATTTCTTTAAGTCGGAAATACCGGCCTATTATTCTTGGAACTTTGTAATTCGGACCAAGTCCTGCTTAACGATGTTAGCTTCACAGGGTATACTGCTGACTTGGCATAGCACGCGAATGAAATTTAAGACAGACAGAGGAAAATCATGTGAAATCCATATAAAATATGGGTAGTTTTGAACGCTCGGTGAATACTTATACCCAACTTACTACCTCGTTGTCATGCAACCAAAAGTGTGTGCCGTGAAGCTGTGAACGACAACATTTTTTGTTTCCAAAGAAACTCCTACGAGCTTCAGCGAGTCTCCATTTCACGTACCCATATGCATAATATGTTAATTTTACCTTAATAGTTTGTCACTGTACCAATTGCTTTGATTGATGCTCATGATGTCAATCGCTCGATTTTCTGGTCCAGACTCCACTATTTACAGACCGCCGTCATATAGCCGGAATATTGCTGAGCACGTGGACACTATATGTTTAATTGTTTAGTTTCGTTGGTTGGGATACGTACATGTAACATTGAATCGTTATATGTACGTATGGGAATCTGTGAGGCACATTTGCGCGTTTTCGCGATCTCGGCCATTGAAAGAAGCTAAATATGAAAAAGGCCAAACTCCCAAATAAAACATTCTCGCCGGATTAAGATACCAACGCAACATCATGGCACAACATGACAAAATTGGCGGCTGGCGATTTTATCCTCAAAGGGCCGACCAAGTCGGTGGGGCTGGCATTGGATTTTAACTCAAACAAAATATTGTCCCATAAAATTCTTGAGAAAAAATATATTGCCTCAGATCGTTGAAAAAAAAACATTTCTGTGCCACAAAAATGGTATTGTTGCAAGATCTTTTCCAGAATAAAATAATAAGCTCATACTTTCAAATGACATGATATCTGGTTTTGTAGGTGTAGCTGAAAAATATCCAGTCTCCATCCCAAAACATCCAAGCCCCTTCCTCCTCTATCAACAGATGTTTTACATTGTAGGTCAGCTATATATTTACCTCTTGGTCAAAGGGGGCCATCTTTGATGCTCCAGCCCAAGGATTGGTGAAATGTGTTTTGTCATAGCCGCCATATTTCCAGAATCCGTCGTTACCGGGATCCACAGTGAGGATTAACTCGTCGTCAAGGAAAAATCTGATTGCAGGGGTAAAAACAGAAAGATGAAGAACGCTGCCGGAATGGGGTTTGTGTAATATGGCCAGGAAAGGACGAGGTGGGATAAGAGGTCGTTATGGTGTGCTTAAAATGGCAAACTTAAAAGTAATATTCAACTTTGCAATATTGGTATTGGAATTATAAGTCTTAAATATTTCTTACAGTTGTACGTTTTGCACCTCCTGCATGGTAAACAGCATCACAAGGCCTATTATCATTATTTCACCTATACTGCTCCGTCCCCCCTCAACCTGCCCCCTATCCCCACCCACACATGCGCGCGCTCATAAACATAACAACGACTTTACCCCTTTGGTTGGCTATCTATTTGTCTGACAGTCAGTTGTTTGACAACTGGTCGCTAGACAGTGGAGTGGGGGACAATTTTGAAATTACCAACAGATAGAAAAAAAAACAGTCGTATTTAGCGGGCTTTACTCAGCGAGGAATACTTTGAACAGACATATAAATTTTTTATTTCCTCCAATGTAGTGGATGTACACTCAGTCGCTATTTCCATTGAAACATAGTGTTATAAAACAGTCATCATAACTGACCAGAGACAGTATGGAACGCCTTTCAAAGAAAAGGTTATAGCCAAAAGTAGAATGTTCCTAATAAAATCATCGTCTTGGACCGCATTTTAACAGCATCATTTACATCAACAATGTCGCAGATGGAGTCAAACATCTTATTTCTTTCTGAAAATTGCGAAGACCCGTGAAGATCTGAGGTAGAACAGGTCTTCAGCAACCCATGCTTGCCGTAAAAGGCGACTATGCTAGTTGTAAAACGCGACCAAAGGGATCGGGTGATCAGGCTCGATGACGTTGATGCATGGCATCGATCCCAAGACGCGGAACAAGAGACTTCGATTTTAAATCGGTCACGGTAGAAAGGAGTTAGAGAGCACTAAGATCTGCTTTTATGAAATTGGTGCTAAACATACTTCATGTTATTTTCGTCCCACTCCAGGCCGTACTTGTGGAAGGAATCTCCAAATGTTCCATGTTTACTGTCCCTGAAATATAGAGACGGTCTTGTTCATACCTGTAGCAGGGGTAGCCATCTTGGATGACTGTATGCATGTACATGAACGTACATGTTCGACACGAGATATGGTCCAATACACCTGTGAAACCTCGTTATATCGAATTCCGTCAACTCGATATATTACTTTATGAGAAATGCCTTTAGGATCCCGATAGAAACGTTATCGATAAAATGGTATGGATATGATATAGCATGGATCACTTTTTGTCTCGATTCTGGTGTCCCCGCCGTGATATTGATAGAATATTGGTAAATGTGACGTAAAACTAAACTCACTGATTCTTTTCTCGAAATGTGGATGGAAAATAGCTAAATGCGACGTTTAACGATACTCACTGATTTTTGTGTCGAAATGTGAATATCTCGTTCATTTTTATCAGGTCTTGGAGTCGGGGAGGTTAAATATATGGTTGTAGCAAAGTTAAAAGCATACTTTTATGGGCGTGTAAGAAAACGTTTTTATGGAAGGTAGACCGATTTTTCTGTAGCCGTACTTTTCTGCATGTCCACGTCCCCAATTGTCGTGTGTCCAGTCTGGACCGAAGTGGATTGTACTGCCCATGCGGTTCACGCCTTGCGACTGACCTTTGGAATCGTGGTAGTGCAGATTGCCTAGCAACAGACAGCAGTACAAACGTAACACATTTATGTAAGAAATACCCAATCGCGCCACTCTCTCTCTCACTCTCATTCTCTCCTATATACTGACCTCGACTCTCCATGATGTCGATTTCACCGGAAGCAGGCCATCCGCCATAGCTGTCGTATGTCGGCATCATCCAGATAGCTACGGAGGACATACTCGTTAGAATACAACTGTATCAACACCTATACCTATAGTATATCGCGATTCTTACATTATCTATCAGATGAAACTGTACGTGTTCCAAGTATTTATTTCGCAAAGGCACATTAAATCTACCATTTTTTTTATAGATTGTTAAACAGCTTATTTCGTAATAACTTTAAACCATTTGTTATTTGTTCAACAACTAGATGTTCCTTTTTGCTGTAAGCTCTGATCATATTGTAAAGTTTGCTCAACAGGAACATTCGCTCTGATCTTATCGTACATTTTGAGAAGCTCTCCAAGTGCTCCCGTCCAAACTTCACCCTTCCTTATTTTGACATAACTTGCTAGCGGATAATAAAATAATACTGAGTTTAATTCTCTACATCAATATTGATGTAAATATCATGAAACTATAAAGGTTTATGTGAATAATTCCATTATTTTGTAATTCGCCCTGATTTTTCTAGGTTTGTCAAAACCATACCCATGATGCAAGTTGGATTCACCAAAGTTGCACTTTCCTCCCACTTCAAGCTGACGCGCCGTGGTATAACCGCAATATTGCTCAAAGCGGCGTTGAACTAATCTCACTCACAACTGAATAAGACATTGAAATGCGTCAACATATTAGCAACACCGGTGACAACATTTTTTCGCTAGCAATTATTATTTTCAAAACCCTTCTTTTCTAGACAGCCAGCATATCCGGCTCAGAAATAAATTATTTTTTTTTACCTTTTGCAGTATTTTCTCAAACAAATTATTTTCATCCCCATCCAGAATATCAAATGCTCTGTCCTTGTCTACCTACCCGGCCACAGCCAGTCTCCTGTTGGAAGCTTAGCCTCGATCTCAACCTTCCCATATTTGAAGTTAAAACCACGTGAGCTCCGGATCTTCGCTGATTGGATAGGGTTCACCAAACGCCCAGGGGCGCCCTGTCTCTCGCAGCCGTAGAACTGGTTTCCGGTGCATGTGTCGTAGGGACCAGCGCCTTCGAAAGACAAAAACAGTCTATGCATAAAGATTAATCTTTCATTACACACGAAAGTCGGATTCTGCATGGCTGAGACCGTTAACATATATTATTTTCTACCCACTCCCACTAACATGTAAGGTACATTTCTTCTGCCCCCGCACGGATTACCGAACTGTTGGTTTGCTTTTGCAACTTACCAACCGCGATTTTGTGCCATGAATTAATCATGTCATTCTCCGGACATTTACGATATTGTTCTAATAAAATAGATATTGGAGGAAGAAGTTTGTTTTTTTGCTTCATCTGCTTGAATTAATGAGAACAGTGGACGAAGTTGTTGGTTTGTTGTTTAACGCCGCACTCAGTATTCAAACTATATGACGGCGGTCCAGACAAACCAGTGATTGACATCATGAGCTTCGATCCACGCAATTGGGATACGATGACATGCATCAACCAAGTCAGCGAGCCTGACCACCCGATCCTTTAGTCGCTTCTTATATTATGACAAGCATAGTCGCCTTTTAGGGCAAGCATGGGTTGCTGGAGACCTATTCTACCCCGGAGCTTCACGGTCAGTGAAGTGGATAAATACCTAACATTACTGTGGTGTTATTGACGATTCGGGACAAAGCATGTATGCACAAGGCATACCTACAATATAATTAGTCCACCGTTCCCTCGGGCGACATAGGTCGATCAACTCATGTCCAGTCAAGACCTGTGGACAACTTATGTTATACTCTGTCGATATGTTATGAGTATCTACTTGAGCAAGGGAGGTAACTCACCCCACAGTTCCAGTTTGCCGTGCTCCAAGAAGTTAAGGCCGTACTGGTCTGATGTCAATGTCTGCAAACATGACGCAAACTTATTTAACATTTACTAGATATTAAAAATACAAAGTATAAGTAAATACAGTCTTAAAGGGTTTAAAATGTTTATTTGGTGAAAAGAGTCAAACTGGCTGAGCACATGCACTTGATGAAACTTGTGAAGACGTTTAGAAGATTAAACTAAAATCAGTTATCAGGTTAGGTGAAATTGGGTTTAACTTCGCGTTCAAAATTATTGCACTTATATATATATATATATATATATATATATATATATATATAAAGAGCATGCGCGTGTGCGTGCGTGCGTGCGTGCGTGTGTATATGTGTGGGTGCATGTATGTCTGCTTTTATTAGTCCGGACTAACATGGACACGCCACTCAGACACTGTATACTGACTCTAAGCCGACCCGTCCTTATGTTATACCCTAAATGCCGAGCGCCAGGCAGGGTGACAACAAGTGTCATCTCTTGACGTCTTTTGAGATGACGCGGCCGGGGGATCGAACCACCGACCTTCCTCGCTCCGGACAGACGCTCTATCTACGGAGGCGGTTAATAGCAAAGGAAATCATTTACAAGAACAATGCGAGATTCTTACAAGTCGGGGGATAGGGATCGGGCAATGACCTGTTTATATATCATTTAACAAAAACTCCGTTTTTTGGTGATGGTTATACATTTGGTTTTAACATACATAAATGGGAAAAAAGTTTAAGAAAGAAACTAAATTCATGTTGGGAATCGAACCCATATCTCCGGTGCAACGACCTAACACTTTACCCACTAGGCTACCCCATCGCTACCTCCCTGGCTCATCCCACATCCCACTGTCCGTGGTCGAAACCATTGTTTAGGAACGATGCGGCCAATAAAACGCAGCAATTGAATGTACTTTCGTGTTTTACGTACGGGTTTCAAGTAGAGAACACCGTTCTTCACATAGCTGTTGGTTCGGTTGTTGGTGTAGTACTGGAATTCCCAGTTCTGTAACAAAACGTAATCTATGTCAGATTTTACAAACGCTTCAATCGCATCCGATTTCGAGGATATCTCGAGCGCGGCTTTCTTAAAACCAAATTGAAAACTACGAAACAGAAAGGCGAGTACATTACCTGTACTGTTTAAAGTAACAGTTTTATAGTTGCATGGACAACTTGGCACTAGAAGGTCGATATTTCTTCTGTTCATACATATGCCTAAGTATCCTCAGTGAATATCCGGGTTTAAATTGATCTTCAGCAATCAATGCTTGTTGTAAGAAGCGACTAAATTATCGGGTGGTCAGGCTCGCTGACTTGTTTCATGCATGTCATCGTATCCCAATTACGTGGATCGATGTTCATGATGCCAATCACTGGATTGGCTCTGGTGATTATATACAGACCGCCAACATATAGCTGGAATATCACTGACAGAGGCGTTAAACAGCAAACAAACATATAAATTATTTAGACTGAAAGTCTCAACGACGTCGTTCAAAATAGTATCTTATATTTTGTTTTCTTCACCTTAAAGGAATTCATTTCCGTTTATCGTCCTTCGTGATTATGTAAGGCAAATTTGCATCCATCATCTGTACAGAATAGGTTACAAGACTGATGTCCAAAAATCACTTTTGATATCAATGTTGACAACCATCCAAAGATACGACTATAGGTAAAGGAATAGCCACTCATTAAGGCCTACTCGGTATATTGCGTTAAGGACTTTGTCAATATGAGATCGAGAAACCAGCTACAGAATGGAGGGCTCACAGGTCTAGCCGCGATGACTGAGTGACTATACCCACCCCACCTCCTCCCGCCGTGATCTCGTGCTCCCACGTCTTCAGATCAAAGGTATTAAATTCATCGTCAAAGATGAGGCACGGGTAGCTGGTGCACACAGGCGAGTCTACAACAGAATAGTGACTTAGTGAGCGGGAATCTGATGTGTGGCATGGCATCAGCTATCATACAACGTTTTCCAAACCACACCAGGATGAAAACAGTCGCCGAAACACTGTGAACTGAAGGTCTTCTACCGGCTATGATGCCGATCAAATACATCACCATCGAATAACCATTTCTTGTTTGTTTCAATTTTCAGTAACCATCAAACAAGGGAGTATACTTTCTTTTGCCCGGCAGTGTATTTCATAGCAACAGTCTTAACAAAGAAATCCAACAGTGTGTAACAATACCCGTCCAATAATCACTTTTTCACAAAGAAATCCAAATCATATGATACAGGAGTGAGTGAGTGAGTATAGTTTTACGCCGCTTGTAGCATTCCAGCAATATCACGACGGGGGACACCAGAAATGGGCTTCACATATTGTACCCATGTGGGAATCGAACCCGGGTCTTCGGCGTGATGAGCGACCGCTTTTACCACTAGGCTACCCCACCGTCCCTATGAGACAGGTAAGACGCTGGTTGTTCCGCATCGCCAATATAGACGATACATGTGGAATCCAATCTGATGTACTCGTATGTGACATTAAGTTATTGTAAAGCGTAGACAATAAAACATCCTCACCGTCGCAGTCTTTCTGGACAGCGTTGAAACTAACGCTGTCTATGTTGTGGCCGCTAGATGGCGTTTTGTGAGTGACAGCTTCCGTCTTTGGATTATGGGCAGGTTTGTTCGTCACAGGTGCGTGAGTCACAGGTGCGTGAGTCACTGGTGCGTGAGTTACCGGGGGCTGTGTATTGGGACCACCTTTGTAACAATGTCAATGAGTGAGTGAATGTGGTCTTGTTAATCACATCTAACTGGTCCAAGTTACACAGAGGGTAACGTAACCGACCCATCATATCTATTTCTGAATGTTTAAACGCTTAACAGCAATGATGTCTTCATACTGACTCACAGTGAGAGGCAGGAGTGGCCCATGTGTCTAATTGAGGTAGGCCATAGTTCTCTTAAACGATTCTTTCACCTCGTTGAAAGTTTCGTAGGCAAATCTACTCTCAGACAAGTTTCTCTCCCATCTTTAGCCAAAACCATGTTTAGGTCGTCGTATATCAGCAATAGTCCTCTTGAACCATTCTCTCACTCACTGTAGGTCCGCACCTCGTTTAGGTCCACGTGCATGTAAGCAATTGTGTCCTTGAACCATTCTCTCACACACTGTTAGCCAAAACCATGTTTAGGTCGTCGTATATCAGCAATAGTCCTCTTGAACTATTCTCTCACTCACTGTAGGTCCGCACCTCGTTTAGGTCCACGTGCATGTAAGCAATTGTGTCCTTGAACCATTCTCTCACACACTGTTAGCCAAAACCATGTTTAGGCCCTCGAACATATGAACCTTATGTCTCTTAAACCATTACGCCACCTACGGTAAAACAAGTGATAAAACATGTTCTTAGGTCCACAAACAAGTAAACAATAGTCTTGGCAACCCATTCGGTACTTACTGTAGGTCCACACCTGGTTTAGGTCCTGGGACGGCCGTCCACGTGACAGTGCGTACAACCAGTAGTGTACGGTGTCCCCAGGATGTAAGGTGACTCCGTCCTGCACGTACACCCACGACGACCCTGAGGGAAACAGATTCGTTCAGATCCCTGATGCGTGTATATGTTACAGGGAATATATACACATGTACGACAGCTTCCTAACAAACAACAATAAAGAAGGGTGGTTTATTTCACCATAAACCATTGGTCTATCATGACGTCATTTCTGGTGATTCGAACATACGCTTGAAACATGATGACGTCGCAAATTGGACAATGTTATTTTTTTTAGAGAAGTGACTTGTGAGTTCTCCCCCATAGATTAGCTGGTCAACGCATATAAACGCAATGGCCGAACGATCGCATACCATAGTAGGGAAGAAAGGACACTCAGTATTGAGAGAAAAGGTTCAGATAATCGACGTGAAATTTGTGAGAATATCCGGGAAATACTAAAGTTATCTAAAGTTACACCCATCCAACCCCATAAAATCGACCATATATTTGTTTAGGTGAACAATTGACTTGCCTTTGTATGTGTTAATGAAGAATGCCACCGGTGGGGCAGGATAAGGTCACCGGTATTACCCCTATTTGATGGTGATTCATAAACACATGCTAATGATATAGTCGCAATCGTACAATGGAGATTTCCTATGAGTATGGAAATATTTTTTGTTGATGTTCCTTAACGACGAGTTGCTTTCACGCAATCTGCATTCAGATGTTATAGGCGTGAGTGAGTATTGCTCAACGCCTCTGTTAGCAATATTCCAGCAATATCACGGCGGAGGACACCAGAAATGGGCTTCACATTGTTTGTTTGTTTGTTTGTTTGTTTGTTTGTTGTTTTAAGCCGCACTCAGCAATATTCCAGCTATATGACGGCGGTCTGTAAATAATCCAGTCTAGACCAGACAATCAAGTGACTGACATCATGAGCATCCACGTAATTGGGATACGATGACATGCATCAACCAAGTCAGCGAGTCTGACCACCCGATCCTGTTAGTCGCCTCTTACGACAAGCATAGTCGCCTTTTACGGCAAGCATGGGTTGCTGAAGACCTTATTTACGCCGGATCTTCACGGGTCGCTTCATACATTGTATCCACGTGGGCATCTTCGGCGTAACGACGTTGTTATAGGAGTGAGTAAAGACGTGGTTGTGAGCCCAGGGGGGATTTAGTGTTGGAATATGCTGGACGAAAGCGGCAATTAAATGGATCGATTGGTCAGATGGCGAGTCATCGTACCCTGTTGCTCACAATATCAATCACTGCATGCATTGTCTGGTCAAGACTCGAGTTTTTACCGGCCGCCCTGACACAGTTGGACCATTGCCGAATGCGGCGTTTAACAAACAAACAAACAAATATGTGGGCGTGCACGTACACACTAACCTTGCTTGGTCCTGACGTCAACGTTGTAGCGGCCGGCTTGGACGCCTGTGAGATCCTGGTTGATGCTGAAGTGAATGGCCACCAACTCATAGTCGGCGTCTGTCGCCATAGAAACATGTTCAGTATTGCGTTGTCACAGACACGTGGAATCGTTTCAACATGGCATCTTATCATATGTATTAACGACACAGATAACACGATATCAGGGCACCCACTTATAATTCCATGGCAAGTAGAAAGTCTGTCAGATGTCAACAACAATAACAACAATAATAATAATAATGAGAAGAAGAAGAAGAATTATAATAACAATGTAAATGTTAATAATGAAATTACTTAGTTAATAAATGGCGAATGTTTTAACTTCAAATGATGTCGGTGAAGGTAAATGGCGTTATTGTTGAAAGGGGGGGGGGGGGGGGGGGGGGGCTTTCAAGCTTTCCTCCCACATTAAGCTGGCACGCCGGGATATAACTGGAATAATGTTGAAAGCGGCGTTAAACCCAACTCACTCACTATTGTTGGGAGGTCCCAAATCCAACAATTATATCATCTGTCAGATACGTACTCTTAACAGTAGGTCTTTTCATCAACTGTTACTCTGTTATTGCGAACCTTTTGCTCTAGCGAATCTTTGCTCACTTGTTTTGTCCTAATTTCGATGAAAAAATATTTCATTTTTTCCAGGCAATAAAATCTCATTAGACACCCACTATACCTATGCCCAATACACCATCCAACCCACACCCATACCGACATACAATACAACAAAATGACCAGCCCCAAAGACGGTTATCAATAAGAGGTTTGACCTACACTGTCGGGCAAAAGAAAGCATACACCTGAAAATTGCATGTGACCAAAGTATGACGTACGTTATCAAAACGTTACACGGCTGAAAACAGTCGCCGAAAGACTGAACACTTTTCTAAGGCACAACTATGATACCCGTTTCAAATACATCACCATCAAATAACCTTTTCGTCTTTGTTTCAATTTTCAGCAACCATCAAACTTAGGAGCATACTTTTTTTTGTCCGGCAGTGTAAGCAGTGTTACGGGGCGGTCGGGTAGCTTAGTGGTTAAAGCGTTCGCTCGTCACGCTGAAGACCCGGGTTCGATTCCCGACATGGGTACACTGTGTGAAGCCCATTTCTTGTGTCCCCCGCCGCGATATTGCTGGAATACCGCTACAAGCGGCGTAAAACCATACTCACTCACTCACATTTACAGCTCCGGTGAAACGAGTATGGTATAGTGCTGAGAAAACAACAATAACCATCACGTTGATTGTGGGATTCGAACCGACGATAACTGGATTCAAGTACGGCTAAGGGACGCAACTCTGGTGGTTGTCGATCATGAACGATTGGCTTATCAATATCAGAATAACGGTATGGGGGGGGGGGGGGGAGGAAAGACTCACCTGGTATTTCCCATCTTAGTCCCGAGGGGGTGAGTGGTGTGATCGTGGGTTTCGGGATAGCCCACACCAGAGGCAGAAGAAAGAGTACCCACATGGTCCAGCTAAGGGAACAAGATTGATTGATTGTCTGTTGTTTAGCAGTATTTCCAATTACATTGAGGCGATCTGTATATAATTCATAATCGAGTGATTTTCTGGTTATCCAGCTTCTCTGAACAAAAGAGTGCTTCATAACACTCAAACCGCTATAGAGGTGCATGGTTCTTATACTTCGTACACAGTATTAAGTCACCATGGTCATGATAAGGGGTGGTCGGGTAGCCTAGTGGTGTAGTGGATAGACCGTCTGCCCGGAGAGCCGAAGATCGATGGTTCGTTCCCAGGCCGCATCATACCAAATGGAGTAATGGTACTTGTTGTTTCCATGCCTGGCGCTCGGCATTTAGGGTTAAAAAGGAATGGTCGTCTGTGAGTCAGTATAATATGACATGGTGAATCATCATCTATGTTATTCCTCGGCATGGTATCTCAGTAGGTTAGCACTAAAAACCGTGCAAGTCCAAGCAGACAAGCACGCACACGCACACGCACACGCACACGCACAGCAACAGCATCAGCCTCAGCCTTACACACACACACACACACACACACACACACACACACACACACACACACACACACACACACACACACACATCCATGCACATCGCTGTATATATGCAATAATCCTGAACGCGGCGTTAAACCCTACCCTCACCTCGAGTCTCTTACCACGGTCACGACGTCTTCGGCAGGAGCTAACCGGGGTCTGACAAACAGTTTCCTCGAACAGGTCCTTGTAACCCAGGCGCGGCCATCTTGAAATCCTCTGGAGACTGGAGCAGCAAATATGGACACGTACGACTATGAACATAATGACCTTTGTATATCGCTCGTTCTCGCGTGTTGATCTTGTATAACGAGTTCAGATGAACTGCAACCGTACAGTGTACGGCCTCCATAACCGTAGGAGTGCTGAAAGTCACGTGGTCAGAGTGGAGTGTTGCCAGAACTTTCTGAGAGACGTGAAAGAGTGTACGTTTCCGCGGCAGTCAGCAATATTACGCTATGTCACAGCAATCTGCAAATTATATATGCTGGGTTAACATATGTGAGGTTGATAGCATGGGCACCGATCCCCGCAGTCGGGATACGAAAATGCACTACCAGTCAGGTCGACCGTTATAAGCACCCAATCCTCATCGACTCTTGAATACCCACGGAATAGTGCATAAGCATGGGACTACTAGCCTGGGACCAGTTCGCTGGAAGTAACACAATAGACAGTTTCTTGAGTGAGTGAGTGAGCGAGTGAGTGAGTGAGTGAGTTGGGTTTAACGCAGCTTTTAACATTATTACAGTTATATCAAAGCGTTGACATTGTATGTGTGCACAAATCATATCCTTCTCATGCCTCGCGAATATCCCTCTGATACATGTAGTGAGTACAGCTTATAATAATGCACATCACATTCATATTTCCCTGAAGGAAATATTGTAGCAGCTTGTTCAAATGCTTTGTCCTGAAATTGTCCCCCTAATATTAATATATACCCCAACACGTCAAAGATGGTACTTGTTATTACCCTGTCTGGCGCTCGGTTTTAAGGGGATGAAACAAAGACTGGTCGGCTGAGGGTCACACACACACACACACACACACACACACACACACACACACACACACACACACACACACACACACACAAACACACACAAACACACAAACACAGTAACATCGCAGTGCAGTAACATTGAACGCGACATCTTTAATATAAGGCAATATCAAGAAACGACCTTTTCAATTTAAATTTCGTTTTTGCACCCGATTTGCACTTTTTGCTCTCGACATGCCATTGCTCGTTAATCAGAGTCGCAGGGGACCTAGTCGTGCACACTTTGGACTTTGACTCGTCATACTTCGAGCCGCAGGATGTGTGATAAAAACAGGTCACGTGGTATATATTAATCATTATAGCTATGTAAGCTATAAAAAAATTAAAAAATGTATAAACTCTTTCTACCAGTCACATGTTGTATTAATTAAAATACACGACCTTTCATATTGTGTGGATACCAGCTCATGTTGGGCTGCATGATTGACAGCAGAGATAGCAGACCACGGTTACAATGAACCTATAGTGCATGACACCAAGAAATATACCACGTTCAAGAACCAGAATGCAATCGCCTCCATCGCCATAACATATGGCCATTATTAGAACTGCGGTGAATTGAGTTGAATATCAAAAAGTTGTCAAATTGCGATCCTCCACCCTTATCAGTATAAAACATCACCCACTCTGCTCGCGAACACTCATTTCAATTAATATATCCCGGAAAAAGCTTCTGTTGTATAAATGGTAGGTAACATTGAGCTGGTATTAATATTGCACTGACGAAGCAAGTTTCTTATGACGACACGTGTACTTCAGGCTAGTGCGGTATAAGGACACTATCTCTTGTTTCGAGACGTGTGAGTATAGACGGGCATGTTATCGTTCATGCCATGTACTGTTATTGTTGGAATATTGCTAAAATATTACTCACAGCGGCGTTAAACTATATTCCCTCCCTTTAGATGAGATGATTTCGTTTTGAAATTGACTCAGTATGTTTGATTATGATCAAACTGACAGCATCAACAGAAAAGAATACGCTCTTGCGAAAGGAATTCTTTCTAAAGCTCGACAAGCATGTGATTTAGAGTGAGTGAGTTGGGTTTTACGCCGCTTTTAACAGTATTCCAGTTATATCACGGCGTGTCAGCTTAATGTAGGAGGAAAGCCCGAAGTGGTTGGTGCAGGTCTCAGACGTTTACCACTTCGGTGAAACCCACGAGCACGGGTATGGTGCTGAAACTAAAAACATAATCGGGGCGAACCGGGATTCGAACCCACAATCATAGGTATCTGGCGTGCCCAAGAGACGCAACTCTGCACAGCGAATCGCGGCGCCTTAGACGACTGGGCCACCCGTGTCCCCATGTGATTTCGAATATACTACCAATTTTAAATATCTAATTTTATTTAATTTTAAACTTAGTAGTACGCTTGCGCTACAATACAAATGTATACACTGAAATAACAATAGGTTTATCATTCATTCGTAATTTGTGTTATTGTTTGTTTTGTTTGCTTTTTTTTTTTTTTTTTGGGGGGGGTGTATGTTGGTGTTATTGTGTTTACACCGCAGTCAACAGCTTCATGCAGGCTATAAAATCTAATATATAATATCTCCATTCTATTGCGATATATATCCTGTGCCCATATGTTACCCCAGAATTACGAGATCGACTCGAATGACACGAAGCATATAAAAGCCGCCAGTAAATATTCACTTATTTGTGAGATTAATAATAAAAGAAGCGTCAATGCTTGAGAATAACCAGTCTCGATTTTCCAACGAAACAGATTCCATCAGGCGAAAGGGCAAAACAGCGCTGAAAATTATATGAATGAATCCCTGAAAATAGTCCCGTGAAGATCCGGGGTAGAATAGATCTTCAGCAACCCATGCTTGCCGTAAAAGGCGACAATGCTTGTCGTAAAAGGCGACTAACGGGATCGGCTGGTCAGGCTCGCTGACTTGGTTGATGCATGTCATCGATCCCAATTGCGTGGATCGATGCTCATGATATTAATCACTGGATTGTCTAGTCCAGACTCGATTATTTACAGACCGCCGTCATATAGCTGCAATATTGCTGAGTGCGGCGTTAAACAACAAACCAACCAACCAACCCTGAAAATATATGACACCAGGTGTTCGCGAAAAGATAAGCATAATATGCTAATATAAGCATAATGGAGGATGATAAAGACGATGTTTTTTACTGAGTGAAGCGTTAATCTATATGTAAAATTATCCTTTTATCCTTTAGTAATCACAATTGCAGATGAAGGTGCTACAATGGCGGCATCACCTCTTCTCCTATATTTGCTGGTTACAGCGTGGGGTGCGGAGGCAGAGAAGATCCTGTACCTCACCTTCCCACAGTATAGTCACCTGCAGTCAATGAACTTCGTCATCGACGACCTCCGGCAATACGGACACGAACTATGGACTGCACACCCTGACTATCTATCACCCACAGTCAGGAACTCAAGCCTGAACTTGATCAGAATGAAAGGGCTAGGATCAATGGATGTAAACGAAGAACTGTATTCTGCCTTTGTCAACATTCTTGACCAAAGATGGACTTTTTCAAAATTTCTCGATGAGTTGAGAAACTGGAAACACACTCTGATAAGGATGGTTGATAAAAGGACCCCTCCTATTTCCGCTCTTACGAAAATACGAGAAATTAACCATAAGATTCTTACAGACTCTGAGATGCTTGAAGACATCAAGTGGAAGAAGTTTGATCTGGTCATTGCAAACGGCGACATTGGGCTTCCATACATTATTATTCCATACATACTGGATCTACCGTTTTGTATCCTGGCAAATTCATACGACCCTTGGCGAAGTGGAAATCCAAGTCTTCCTTCATTTATTCCTTATCTTGCTCATGGTGACATTGGCACAGATCACATGACGTTCTTCCAGAGAGTGAAGAACACGTTGGTTTACCTGCTAATGCTGGGCTTGCCACCATTCATCCTTGAAAGCGACGTGACCACTTATGCCCCAGACAATACACAGATGACCTTTACCCAGCTCATGGCCAATGCCAAGCTTTGGATGATTGAACAGGACCTAGTTGCGGACTATCCAAGACCGCTAATGCCAAATACCATTCTAGTGGGGGGTCTATCGGCAAGGGATGCAGGTGTGCTTTTAGGAAGATTCAAAGACTTTTATGATACATCCGATTCCGTGGTCGTCGTGTCATTTGGGGGCAGTGTCAGTTCCCTCACGACGGAGCTGACTGAAAAGCTACGACATGCATTTTCGATGACCAAGTATAATTTTGTATGGAAATCTGATAAACCATCTTGGAACCCGACTAAATGCTTTCTGACGGAATGGATACCACAGAATGACCTTCTCGGCAATCCCAAGACTAAACTATTTATCACCCACGGAGGAAATAATGGTTATTTCGAAAGCTTGTATCATGGTGTGCCAATGTTAGGAGTTCCGATATTTGCAGATCAATATTATAACACTCAAAGATTACAAAACAAGGGCTATGGCTTAGCGTTAGATCTCAACCGAAACTCGGCGGCAGACTTTGCTGATGCCATTACCCACATCGTTGAAAATCCGGTATTTAAAAAGAATGTTTTAAGAGCTTCGAAAATCTTGAGAGATAGACCAATGAATTCTCGACAGCAAATTGCGTATTGGATCGATCACGTGATCAAATATGGTGACACACATATGCGTTCCGTTGGCCTTGACCTACCCTGGTACAAATACCTCTGCATGGACGTGTTGTTGTTTTTGATACTCATCGTGGTGTCTGCTTTTCTCGCTTTAGGTAAACTGATGCGAGCATTAATTTCACGATTACTGTAAATCAACCGAGATCTCATTTTAGCGTTTAAATATTTGAACATGATAAACTGAAAAAAATCCACCATGAACGAGTTTGTTGTAGATTCGAACACGCATTGACTACTTCATTCACTGTAAATGGACTTCATAAGTTATGTCAGAGTGAATTACCTCCCTTCTTCAAATTCACTGGTTGCCCGCAGACAAGTGGGCGTTCATTCAGTTTGGGACCTATATACATCGGCGACATTTACGCCTATCACCAAAGTACATCTAACTTCACAGGTATGTAGCATTTAACATAACATAGATTTCATTCTTTAAAGTATATCTTATTCATACGATGCATGAATAAATATACCAACACGTACATAATGGTTGACTGTTTTAACATTGCAAAACTGCTTCAGCTTTATTGGATTTGTCTTGTCTATGTAATTCAATTTCAATATAGTGGATATTTAAATGTTTAATCTTGAACTAAATGATCTTTTCGGGTAAAAAATGCTTTACTAATTTTAATACTGTTAACCAGTGCTGAAATGGCTGCAGAGACATTTTCGAGTTTAAACTTGTTTTCGAATAAAAAGAACACCATTTCACAGGTTCGTTGGTGTTTTCCCTGGAGTCAGAAAGCATATAATTCTATTATATGGTCTCTGCTGGAGTGCACAATGACCAACTAGACAGTACATATTATTGTAGTATGTAACATTTTAAATTTGATGAAAAGAGAAAGGTTTAAGATAAAATATTCTTATGAAACCCTTATCCGTGTTCCTGACTATTGAAAAAAGAGTTTTAAATTAAAACCGTGTTACATTTTTACAGTGATGGTACACTATCGTCTACTTTGTGGGGATATGTTATTGAACCTTTCGTATCTTCAACAAGACAACTGCTAATAGTGTGTACGTTCGCAATGTTCCTATGAAAGGATTTAACATGTGAGTAACCGATATTTTAAATGTCAAAAAACGAGAAATAAAAATAAATGCTACTGTACTCAGTTATTTTATGCAATTTAACTAAAATCACAGTGACGGCATCCAATCCTGGTCAGCTAAGATATTGAAGTATTTATCACTCATGGCGTAAAGCCTTTGTAAACATAGATGACCCAGATATACTGGACGCAGGGTAGAAAGTACACTGATATCCTGCAATCGTACTAAGCTATGTCGATTGGTAAATCGTAAATGGGGTATAGGCGAGGGTGGTCGTATAGGGGAATCGGGGTGCGGGACCATCTTCACAAAACGATCTTAGCGCAACGACGAACATACTTCCACGTTGGCGTATAGAGTGAGTGAGTTTAGTTTAGCGCCGCTTTGAAGTTTATCAGTTATATCACGGAGTGGAAGCCTGAGGTGATGCGGACGTTTTCCACTCTCGTGAAACCCACGAATTGCAGTACGGTGCTTGATACATCAATGAACGTAATCAGGTAGAAGCTAGGATTCGAACTCGTGACCACCGAGTTTATGGTTGGTTGGTTGGTTTGTTGTTTTACGCCGCACTCAGCAATATTCCAGCTACATGCCGGCAGTCTGTAAATAATCGAGTCTGGACCAGACATTCCAGTGATTAATATCATGAGAATCGATGATCGGGATCGATGACATGCATCAACCAGGTCAGCGAGCCTCACCACCCGATCCCGTTAGTCGCCTTTTACGACAAGCATAGTCACCTTTTACGGCAAGCATGGGTTGCTGAAGACCTATTCTACCCCGGAATCTTCACGGGTCACCGAGTTTATTGAACTATGGAACACAATTATATATAGCCCCCACAGACGCACAAAAACTGTCACAGTCGTTTTGTAACGAGGTGAGTAGTGGTGGTTATCTGTAATATAATATAATATTATGAATATAACCTCACCACCAGATCCCTACTTATTTGCAAGTACAAAGCATTTTCGTGAAGAACCAGCTTAGAATAGGTCCTCAGCAACCCATGTTTGTCTTAAGAGGCGACTATCGACAAGGGGTGGTCAGGCCCGCCGACTTGGTTGATGCATGTCAATTGTGTAGATCTATGCTCATGATGTCAATCAATGGATGGCTGGTCCAGATTCGATTATTACAGACCGCCGTGCTATAGCTGGAATACTTCTGAGTACGGCGTTAAACAACAGACGAACGAGACCCAAAGTAATAAAAGCAAAATACTATTTTGCATCCATGTTGAAGTATACAGCTAATCTCGCTTTGTGCAACGGGCCCTGGCGTGATAGATAAGCTTTGTTGTACAAATATGACCGTGTACGATTGTTGTATTATATCCTGCAACAGCTGGTATAAGGTTATTCATACTCAGTACATCGTCCGATGAATAGACAAATGAATGTTGAATTATAATAGATATGGTTCAAGATAATAAACTTCATAAATAGGAGCCCATACGTGTTATATTGATCGCGCACATGCAGGCCGTGTGAGTGAGTGAGTCGGGGTACCAAATATCAGATATTTCCCGGCGCGTCAACTTAATGTGTGAGTTAAAGTCTGGAAGGTAATTTAAGGTACCGACGTTTACTACAATATCTGAAAAACTATCGGACGTACTCCAGTCAAAGTTGGTATGATATTATTAAACAGTCATACATAACTTGATATTACATTTAAAGACAATCGGTGCATGAATAATAAATCTGTCTATTTAGCTATCATTATATTTCATCAACAACCAGACCTGTTCGTCACGGGTGGAACGAGCATTCATTGAAACAGCCATCTGCATAATGCTACCCCTGCGTCACAGGGCCATACGACACAGTTGAACCAATCAATTCAACTCGAAAGGGTGCACGGGAATCACGCACGTTGAGACGCCAAGCGCAAACACCGTATTCGTGCGTGCGTAATTCCCGTGCGATTGTCTTTAAATGTAATATCCAGTTATGTATGACTGTTTAATAATCTCATACCAACTTTGACTGGAGTAGGTCCGATAGTTTTTCAGATATTGTAGTAAACGTCGGTACCTTAAATTACCTTCCAGACTATAGTTAGGTTTAACTCTGCTTTCAAAGCCTTACAATTATTTAACGGCGTGCCAGCTTGATGATTGGGGAAATCTCACAGTGGCATACACATTTACCACCTTGGTGAATCCTACAAGCTCGGCTATGGTGATGGCAAACCAAGAATAATAATTAGGGTAATCCTAGGATTCGAACCCACGACCATAGGATTGTGGCGCATAAGAGGCAAAAAGGGTGTATATATATCACATATATTGACCTTTATTATCTTCCATTCGGAAGTTGATGTTTACAATTGTTTTCTGGACACAAAAATCGGAGTCTCAATCACGTTCTGTATTCCAGGAGTATCCAATATGGCGACCTCGTTCCCTGTGTTGCACACCAGGGGGAGCTACTACGACGTCGGTTACAGCGTGGGCAGCACCTTCAAGTCCCGCATACAGACATACATAGAATCATCCGCTCTCTTCAATGACACGTTGCTGCCCTTTTACGACACTCGCGAAGGACGCGATTTGGTGGAGACCATTATGACCCTGACGGAGAAGAACTTCCCCAAGTACGTCGACGAAGTCCGAGGAACTGCAGAGGGGGCGGGACTGTCGTTTGAGACGTTGTTCGTCAACAACATGCTGATGGAGATCTACTTCGGCTACTCGAAAAACATACCACGACTTACACGCGAGGACCTTGGATGCAGCACCGTTTATATCAACCGCCCGGATGTAAAGGTCATAGCTCATAACGAAGACTGTGAAGTGCTGGTGAAGCATCTCGGCTACGTCGTCGACGCCACAATAACCGGAGACGACGGTGTTGAAGAGAAGTTCACAAGTCTTTGCTACCCCGGGGCACTTCCGGGTGTATCGATTGGCTGTAACAACCATGGGATGGCATTTTCGATCAATACTGTTGTGGCACCAACGGTTGGAGTGACAACACCAACCAATTTTTTGACAAGAGCGATATTGAGAGCTTCTAGCATTGACGAAGTGAGAGACATCATCACCAATACAGGCGATGGAATATCGACCGGTTGTAACATCAACGTCGGTTCCATAGTGGACACCTCCACTCAGTGGTCAGTTGAAGTCGTGCCCAGAGTGTCCGAATCCAAAGTGTCCATTAAGGAATTACACGAATCGGATGAACCCGAGGAATCTACGTATTTTCACATGAATGAGTATCGTCACATGGACATCAAGGTCGAAACAGCTGCAAGGTCGAGAGCGAGGCTTGACAGAGCAATGTCACTTCCGGTGCCAACTTGCGCAAGGGACGCTAGGAATATTCTAGGCGATGTTGAAAATCAGATACATCCCATTTATCGAACTGTTCGCCCGACAGATGGCGCAACCACAGTGTGCACGGGGATATTTGATCTTCTGAATAAAAGACTCGATTTCTACTTCGATAACCCATCTATGGACATAGAACCATTGTTAACGTTCAATATGGAATGCGAGCGTTAAACTATCGGGAGTCATGCATTCCATCCTGGTTCTTCTGAAGGAGCAGATAAGCCCTATGCTCCCGGACACACTGTTTTCAATTTACCACAGATTTATTTTAGGAACGTCTTGGTTCATCGATACATCGACAAATAACAATAAATTAAATAAAATCTGTTTTTATCCACCAAATTTCTTATATTCATTTTGCTATAGAAGCATAGAATTGTAGCATTGTCGTGTTGTTACAAAACTAGAAACAATTTTACAAATTTTCCAAAGCGCAACATCACGACAATGACTAAAAATGTAGCGTTGTCTCAATACTGCGCTGTGATTTTTTAATTATGACGATTTTTGCTTGGTTTTGGGTGGGTGTGTTTGTTGTTTAACACGACAATTAACAATATTTCAGCTATATGACGGCGGGCTGTAGATAATCCTGTCTGGACCAAACAATAATGTGATTGACATCATGAACATCGATCTACCCAATTGGGATACGATGACATGCATCAACCAAGTCAGCGAGCCTGACCACCCAATCCCGTTAATCTCTTTTTACGATAAGCATGGGTTGCTAAAGACAATGTCCCTTCTACCATTCCATATTTTACAGAGGAAATTATCAATCTGTTAATTGAGACGTTTAACATTTTTTTTAATCTCACTGAAGCACAAAGAAACAAAAGAAGTAAAAGACATGGCACTACAGCATGACTCGAAGACAATAATGATTATTAACCGCACGGTGTGATGGATTTCTTATTCATCAATCCTATATGAATGTTGAAATAACGTTGAAGGCGGCAGAAACAAAACTCATTCACTCACTCGAC